TAGCTATTATTTCTAATTTTCAAAATTAAAAATAATACATTGGATCTGATTACATCAAAGGGGCAGTGTAGATGAATATTTCTGACGAAATAACAGATCAAAGCTATATACAGTGTGATTTTTGTAAAAAAATATGGTCATAAAAGATGTAATATCAGATTGGTTGATCAATTAGCTATCATTTCTAATTTTCAAAATTAAAAATAATACATTGGATCTGATTACATCAAAGGGGCAGTATCAAATTTCAGAAAAACTAGTTGAAAGTGGCATTTAGCCTTAAGGCAAGTTGCATGAACTTCCCGAAATGTGTAAGAATTGACTTAATCAATCGAAATTAAAATTTAGATATTTAGAAAAAAATTTGAACTGTTAATTTCAAAAATAAATAGAATAAAATTTTCTCAAACACATTTAAATTATCTCTAATTATATTAATTATATTGCACAGACACGTGCTTGTATGTCCAAAAATTGTACCTTATTATTTTAAATTTTGATTAATTGTTAACGCTTAACTCATCACATTACAAAGGCAAATTTTGACACAAACTTTGACAATAATATTTTCTCAAACTTTAATGAATTTTTAACAATGAACTATTTGTCGTAGGACCGTAACATTTTAGTATGTTTTATAAGACCATGATATCTTTTGCCAAAAAAAGGTTTCTTAAAAATCGGCAATTTTTTTTTAACAGTTAATTTCAACAAGTAGATTAGTTACCTAAAAACTAATCAGTATCATTTCCAACTAATATTTTTCGAAAAGTTTTTGATTTTTTAAATCGATTCAAAATTGAGAGCTAAAACGTGGACGAAAAATTTTTCAATTTTATGCTATGTACAAAAAAAACGGCTCAGCCAATCGTCGCACAAAACTGAGAAAAAATAATCTACATTGATATACATCAATATATTGATTTTTGAGAAAACGTCTATTTACGGCAAAAAACCTGTTCACATACACACGCACATACTTTCTCCAAGTTTGGTCTCATTCGATTCAGAATGGCTTGAAACGTCGAAAAAAATAAAATTAGCGAATCGGATTTTTTGATGAAAACATAAACTTCTCCTTCGGAAAGTTAATAATAGAAAACATTTTTCTATAAGTAGTTAGGAATTACCTGGTTACTGAACAAAGTTAAATAGTTTTTTGTTTGATTTAAGTCATGTGTTGTAATGTATAGTTCATTTGGTTTAGACAGTATAATTACTGAAACTCAAATTGGACCTTTGTGCCATATAATTTTATTTTTGTGAATTCTCTATGTATGATTTAAATTTATTAATTTTTTAAATATGTGTTATTATTATATGACAAAATCATATCACTGCGTCACAACTTCGATGCTTTTGGTTAGAGCAATTATGCAAGCAATCAGCTATTGACTTCAAACACTGTACTAGAATATATGTATAAGATGTTCCTACGTGTTCAAAAAGAAATATGTTTGTTTGCAAATATATCACAAACATCCATAGCACTCATACAAAAAGGTATCATTCAATAACGACTTCGTCACGTCTGCATATATGTTTTCCGAAATTCAATATTCATGATTGAATTTAAAATCCATCTAGCGCGTCTGGAGTAAGTATTATGTACACTGTTTGGCTTTTTTTGGCAAATTTATTCTGAAAATAGTATCAATTTTTGTTTGTAGCACTCCTATATTGTGAGCTACTGCAGAACGTGCGTGAATAACATAATCTGTCTATGATATTCGTATAAATACAACTTAGAATTGCAATACAATTTAGAATATGAAGACATAATTTGTCTTTAGATATGTAATTTTTCAAAACCAAAATAATTGCAATTTTCCTTTATAGAATTTTGTTGCATATCAATTATATTTACATAATTTTATGATTAATTTAGATTAATCATGATATATTATGACCATTAAATTAATTTAGGTATAATTATTAGAATTTATGAGAACTTCTAACTAGATAAAGTACTGTAATTTGATCGTTATTAATTGACCATGTCCACTGTAATATGCCAAATCAAAATCATCTGCTATAATTTACAGTAATCCTATAAGAATTAATATGGAATACTATATAGTAAATGCGTTGACTAGTGCTTATAAAATTAAGCAGAGTCATTACCTCATTACATTGTCAATTTCAACTATGGCAAATATTTTCATTATTTTGAAACAATTCAAATGGATCATATAAATAAAATGTTTAATCTGCAAAAAACAGGTTTTGAACCAAGACAACCTATAAAAAGCAAGTTCTAAAAATCTATGCCGGAGGAGCAATATGTGTAATAAGGTACTTCAAGGTACAAGAGAGGAAGTTCTAGAAGCAGAACTTGATGTTTGAACTAAAATAATTCCAGGATTACAAAGTCATATGTGGCTGTTACAGGCCATTACGTTACAGAACACTATAAACTGAAAAATATTCTTTTCAGATGTTGCCAATTTGAAAGGACGCATACATCTGAGAATACTGCAGAAGAAATGCCAAGACTACTCTTCTAATAGAAATTACATCCAAAAGTTAATTAATTCAAGCGGTAATGCAAGCAATATGAGAAAAACAATTAAAAACATTTTGCTAATAAAGCATTATAGATGTTATGCTCATACAATAAACTTAATAGTGAATGATGGACTAAAATATTCAAAGATGAGTTACATTAGAAGGAGTGTCACTGCTTACAAAGAACCTAGACATAGGCAACCAAAAAATTAATTCAGGATGTTGATCCAAGATGGAATTCCACTTTTTATAAGGTTCAACATTTTGTAAAATTCGAAGAGGCAATAAGGATGACTATGAGTATCCTAGATACAAATTTAGCACCAATAACACCGAAAACATAAAAAATGTTAAAACAATTATGTTTGATTTTAAAGCCCTTTAAAAACATAAAAAACTCAATAAGTGGTGAAATACTATTTAACAGGCAGTTTAAAGATAGTACTAATAAGGTGCTTAAATTAGTCTTGCTCAAAAATATTACTTCAAAATGATTTATTGACAATCATTAGAAGAATATAAATGCCGAGAGGAATGAGACATTTCGAATATGTACATTAATGGATCCAAGATTTAAGATACAGGGATTTTCTAATATATACGATGCAAACTCGTTAAGGAGCACCTAAAGCAAAAAGTGGCGGCTATAATTGAAGAAACAAGAACTTTTTAGTGTGATGTTTTACCAGCACCATCCTTTGATGACACGGATGAACACAACCCATGGAATATATTAAACAGTTCAGTGGGAACATCATCACAACAGTTGACTCCTCTGTGTGCAATCAAAAAGATAGATATGTATCCTTCTGATGATGTATTGCTCATGAGATCAGCAGATTGCCCAATGAAATGGTGGAGCAAGCATCAACACGAGTATCCAAATTTGGCAAAAGTATTTAAAAGATGCAAAATTGTAGCCACATCCGTTTTATGCAAACAGATGTTTGGAAAGACAGGCTTCATATTAAATGAAAGAAGATTGAGACTAAAAAGCACAAAAGTGGAATAATTATTATTTTTTAATGTTAATTAAAACCCGAAGCAATTTTATCAGAGTTAACTTTGTTTTTGTTATATATCTAATGTAAAATATACTTGAAATGTTTACATAATGTTTATACTTTATAACTTGAAAAACTGTTATGTATAATTTAATACTTATTAAAATATATGTATAAAAATAATTTTCATACATCAATCGACTCCTCTGTGTGCGATCAAAGAGTATCTTGCTGATGATGTATTGCCGATGAGATCAACAGATGGCACATTCAATTGCCCAATGGAATGGTAAAGCGAGCATCAACACTTGTATCCAAATTTGGCAAACGTATTTAGAAGATGCAAAATTGTAGCCACGTCTGTTCTATGGCGCCATTCAAGTATTTTATTTTTTTACATTAATTGCAAAATATTTACATAAGCATGGGGGTAGGGGGTAAGAGCTTTGCTTACTTTTGCTGACAAGGGGGATGGGGAGGTAAATAATTGTAATAAATCTGCTTACGTAATACTTGAACGATCCCTATGTGAACAAATGTTTTCTAAGACAGGCATCATATTAAATGGAAGAAGATCGAGACTAAAAGCACAAGCGATTTTATCAGAGTTAACTTTGTATTTATTATATATCTAATGTAAAATATATTTGAAACGTTTATACTTTATGAATTGAAAAACTGTTAATTATAATTAATACTGATTTAAATATATGTATGAAAATAATTTAATTTGCAAGATTTCACTAAAACTGCCATTTACATTAATTTTGATTTAAACTTTCAGATTTTATACAATGTGATGCATAATATAATATTATTAGTTAACAACATAACTAGCTCACATAAATAGATAACTACTTGTTTTTAAGGTTTCTAATGATTAATATTTTTATCACAACATTTGTTATAATTTTTTTAAACCTAACCTGAAAACTATTTTTTCATTTTTCATAAGATTCCTATTTTGATAACATGTAAACTTGATGTTTTATTATATTTGTGGCTTTGCTTTAACGATAAAAACTTAAATTAATTATAAATGTCATGTCAATTTGCATTTAATTCTTTTTATTCATTTAATCAGTTGACATTTGGTGAGAACAAACTTCACATTTTCAACCTTCAACAGTTATTTGAACTACCTATTAAAGTTGCCAGCGTTGAATCGTTAAAATTAATTTGAAAATCGTTGAAAATTAACTAGTAACTAGTTTTACTAGTTAAATAACAATAACACTTTAACCGTTTTCTGTCGTTGACGGCAAAAACGTAAAGGTTTAGTTTTAAAACAAATTGCAAATGAAAATGATGAAATGAAAATTGCAATGAGTACCACAATCAATGAGTAACAAGTTTATAAACTTCCAGACCGCTAAAATGAGCTTTAATCATTAACGCGAAATATATTCTTCGCTGGCAACACTAATATTGCGAGAAAATTTTGACAATTTCCAGAAAGACAAAATGTCGCCCTATTTATATGAACATGTAGCGGCCGTGAAGTATTCTGATTAAATACATTGAATTGATATTGATTTTAAATGAACTAAACAAGTGCTCTCTATAATTCTACAGAGAAACATTCTGAAATTCTATTTATTTTTCTATTAATATATTATTCCATTTACATATATTGACGAAAGTGAGAGCTTCTATATCTTATATTATAACCTTATACCATTTCTTTATACCTTATTATATATGTTTTTTTTTTTTTGATAATTTGAAGGATGCTTATTTTACACGCTGACGAAGTAAAGTAAAATTTGTACGGATAGGTTTCCGTAATATTTAAGTTATATCTGAAATAGAATAATATAAACATGTCCTGGCCAAGCTGGAATCAAATGTCGATGCCCATGGGCACAGGAACGATGCAGCAGACTCAGATGACTCAAATGCAACAACAGTATATGGAACAAGGTATTTAAATCATAAGGAAGAATATCTTTCATGAATACATAATGAACTTTGTATAGTTTTTGTTTGGACATAAATCACTTTCATAATAGGTAGTTGTAACTGATATAAGTCTAATAGTAATGAATTTTAGAAATCTTCAATGCTGTCGGCACACTATATATTTTAAAAAATTATCTAATATCACTTTTGTCTAGCAAATATGATGCAAAATTATATGAATCCTGCCATGCAAACTCAATACAACATGCAAGGATACACTCCGCAACAATGGGCTGCATTCAACAATGGCAACAGTGGCAGCAGATGAGTGCTGATGCAAATGCAACTTCTAAGGTATTTATATTTGATTTTTATTATTATTATTATTTTTTGTCTAACTACATCATATTTATACTTTTTCACTTTCATTATTTTTATGCGATGGATTTTAAATTAATGATGTACGACAAGTTTTTATTTAGTTTTCATTTTTATGTAGAAGTGCAAAGTCCACAAAACCATAGACGTATTTATCATATTATTCTAATTAAACCTTCAACGTTTAAAATTTCTAGTAAAATGATTTCAAACTAATTGGTATTTTTTAAACTAAAATGCCTTTGGATATGTAAAGCATTTTAAAATTTGAAGCCACATTTATTTTAAACTACATAATTACAAACACAATATAGTTTACTTCAGTATAAATATATTTTTATTATGAACTGTATGTATGTTTCTACATATGCGTTACATGACAACAAATACACACATTGATTTGGGCAATAGCACCAAGTAAAAAAAAACTAAAGCAGTTAGGAAATGAGCTTTATTTATCCATATGTTTCAGTCTACATTGGGACCAACTGGTCGAGACAAGTAAAACTAGAAAGTTTTTATAAATGCTTTAAAAAAAAGTAAATGTAAAGATGTAAAACTTTGAGATGAATACTTACAGACAAAAATTAACACTACGCTACAATTATTAACACAACTGTAACACCAAGCTATCGATGGTTCAAGTATCAATATTTAAAAATTATGTAATCGTTATTATACTAATGTAAATAGTTGTGTGAAAACTGAAAATTGAATGAGTTGTATTTACAAGGATTTTTTTCTCAATGTATAATCTGGTTTCGAAAGTACTTTTGTGATATTATAAATATTTTGGCTTTTTTATTTCACCAAATAATTTTCTAATCTAAATATGATAAAGCTACTAATTTAGGCAAAGTAACTTGGGACTCAGTTAATTTAAATTTATAAATATCTTAATAGGTAGTTATTTTTTTTATCCTGTGCAGGTAACAGCACCTCCTTTGCCAGTTCAGCCTCCGTTGCCTGTAGAACCACCACCCCCTGATGCTTTAGCAACGCCTGCAAATGCCACTTCACAAGCCAGTGCTGCTATCACATCTGCATACTCAGCTATGGTCGGCTCTGCTTCAAACTATGGTATGAGATATGGTTCTAGAATAATGACTAGTCATGGATTAAACAACATGATAAATTTTACAGGTGTTCCACCACCACAGATGGCAGGAAGTACTGCACAAAACATGTACAACTATCACACAGGATATGGGTATGATCAATCTCAAACCCAAGCCTCCGTTCCAACTCCAACGGCCTACACTCAACCTAATCTTTTAGGGAATGTAAGTTTATTTAAATTTTTTTATTTTTTATATTTCAACTATCTGCTTCAAAGACTGTTTATACCATTTATATTATAAGTAGCTTTTGTTTGGATTGAGCTTTGGATAATTTTTTTTTTTTTTTTTTTTGATATCAATTCATGTATATGTAATATATAAATAGGGTTGTCACAGCTTTGAGTGTTGTTAAAAGAAAGTTGCTAGATTTCAAATGGTTTATTTTAAATTAGAATTAAGCATGTTGTGAATGGCATTTTACCTTAAGAGATTTTGCACAAACTTTTGGATACAATATAAAAATTATTTAGCTAATCATCAAAAATAATAAAATTTGTTATATTCAATGTTTATTGCAAAACTGGTTGTGCATTTTGCATTTTATGAATTGGTTACAAAAATCAAATTTGTTTAATTAAAATCAGTTACAGCATATTTATAATTCCACAAGGTGAAGGAGTAGAAATATCTATTGGAAAATAACAAAATTTATAAAATAATATAATGGTAGTAATTATGAATAATAGTTTGAAATGTGCTTTGCAGAACTATTTGATTTATTTGTAACAAACATTTTGCAGTAACTGCACAGACTTCTTTTGCAATAATTATTATCTTAACCTTATTGTTCCTTATTTAACTTATTTTGTTTTCTTTACTTACTAATATTCCTTCAATAATGCATTATAAATATATTTGGAATTCAAGCAGAATTTAAATACAAAATCCATTATGGGTTGATTATTATATTGTAATTTTTTAAATTTCTTATGAATCATCCATATATGATAAACCACACATATATGATAAATCATCCATGGTGGACATTAGTTTTCAACACTTGATTTATTTTGTGAATGAATGATTTTTTTAATGGATAATTTTTTATTACCACAGCATGCATGGTCTGTGAATCCACAAGACTTTGCTTATTCTCCTCTTCCCTAATCCATCCATTCACTCTTCGCAGCTGTGTTGATGATAATTTACAAATATTTGAAAACGTAAGCAATACTATAGTAAACTGTAGCAGTAAATTTTATTCACTGTGTTGTTGTAATACTGTAGTAGTGAATCTTATTTATTTTGTAGTAGTAATACTGTAGTAGTAAATTTTATTTATTTTGTAGTTATAATACTGTAGTAGTAAATTTAATTTTTTTCATACTTTTATCAATCATATTTTTTATATTATTCATTAATTATTTGCAATATGTAGTGATTATCTAAAGTAGGAAGACATAGAGCAGTTATCTGAATGGAATGAACTTTTTTTTTTATCATTTTCTGACTTGGGGCATATTTGCTTTATGTTGGTGTTTTATAATTTGTTTAGATGATTTTTTGAACTTGTTTTCTTGCTAATATGGTATATATATAAGATTAGCATTCACAATAAAATTTTTTTATTATGCATTTGATTTGAGTTTTAAATTATAGTATGTTTATTTAATATGCATACTTCTAATTCATAACACATTTTTTGGGAAAGGTTCTATCATTCACTAAACTAATGAAAACGAAGTAACTAAACAGTATTTAAAAACATTTGCGATTTGATAATCCTAATTCTAAATAATAAAATACTTAGGTATACACTATTAGGTTATTAACTATCATACTAAATATGTACTTATTAGTTTTATTAATTATTCTAGTTAAAATTGCAGGTACTTTCTATGGACCTTATTAAAAATATTTTTAAGGAATAAGCTATTATGGAATAATTTAACATTATTGTTAGTTCACACAATACTACTATATTGTTACAAGCAAACGAAAAATGTGGAAATATTAAAGAAAATGACAATTAGTTAGTGCCGTGTTTTAGGTCATGGCTTTCACATAATGTATGCTCTCATACAAAGACTTTATTTTTTTAATATGTTTTGTGTTGTTACGAAATATAAATTTAATATTATTATTTTCTATTATATTTTTGAATGAGCTTACATGAACATGAACAGCTTGGGTTATATCAAGTCCTTTTTAAATTGATCTCTTTCATAGTTTGCAATATTGTTTTCAAAACTGTGAATCAAATTCAAATATTTTCTATTGTACAAACAGTTCACATGTAATTATATTCACTATAATAATGCATTTATACTTTAGAGTTCATGGACTCCTGGAACACAAGTGAAAGATGCATCTAACACCAATTATTCAATTCCCAATGTGAGTGTGCCACCTCCCATGGCTGGAAATACTATTGCTTCCAAGCCAGGTTTAAAAAGAACTGCTGCTCCTGTTGATGAAAGTATTGAGAGCAAAAAGGCCAAGTCTGAAGCACTACACCAACAGCAACTAGATGAAGAAAATGAATTTGATATTCAGTTTCAAAAGTGGGAATCAGATTTTAATACTTGGCGTGAACAAAATGCAAACCATCCAGATAAGAAAGCATATCGTGAATATGAATTGAAGTTTTTAGCATGTAGAAATAAATTACTGGAAAGGCGAGAACAAATGAGAGCAAAGCGCCAGCAAGCAGAAAAGATGATGCTTCAAGCTCAAGCAGCTGAGATGGCTGAACTTGCAAACAACCAATCTTTATTGGCAGAATCAGGCCAAATAAATAATAAAAATGAGTTACAACAGGTTGGAAATCAACCAAATGTAGATCCTTCTCGAACCATTCCAACGGGTTATGTGCCATATATAACTAGTTATCATCAAGATGGGCAAGATCCAACAAACCAAGGCAATAACAGTTCACAAATATCCTTTTTATCCAATAATTCCAACTCCGCAGGTTTTCTAAGTAGTGGGGATAAAAAGGGTATACCTGGTTTAGATTTAGTTCCTGAAGAAGAATCCACTTCTAATGCACTTAATTCATTGAATAAAAGTAAAACTAATGAAGTAATTGAAATAAATGATGATCCAGAGCCTGTGAACACAGAACAATCAGAATTACAACAGAAAAAAGATGATTATAATGATGCTATTTCTAGTGGTATTAATGCTATATTAGCTGATCAAAAATTGCTTTCCATGCTTTCAATTGTTACTAAATGTCAGAATAAATCGGAGATTGGTCAACTGATAGCTTCTAATAAAACTTTATATGATGAATTGAGTAAAAATATCCAGGAAACAAATCAAGAAACAAATGCTAAACAAGGCGATCTCAATATCAATACATACCAGCAATCTAATAATGCTAGTTCAAATCAGCAATCTATTGATTCAAATACATTACAAGATGAATATTCAAATCAGAGTCAAAATGATTGGAGAAGTGATAGATCAGATAACTATGCAGATCCCTATGCAAGTACGGAACAACAATATGAGTCACAACAAATTCAACAACCTGTATCAGAAGGATCAAGAAATGACTGTATTCAAGATGCACCATTAAATCCATATGGTCGACCAAGTTCAGATAACTCTGATCCTTCATCATTATTCGGCGGGCAGTCAAATTATATTCCAAAGCAAAAGTTTATCAGAGATATGTTCAATATTAACACAAAAGCACAATCAGTTGGTGAAGATAAAAAATCTACAGATAAAGATAATTCTTCAAGTTTCTTGAATAAGTTTAATAATAGATTGTTTGGTAAACAAAATTTAAATAATGACAGATCTCAGTATGGTGACTTGAATGAAAGACAGCCATTTGGATCTCTGAATCCAAATGATCGATTAGGCAATACTGGTTTGGGGAGTATTCGACCTCTGCTTGGTGATAGATCACAATTTGGCAGCGGCAGATCTCAAGTCAATTTAATGAATGTAGATAATGAAAGATTGCCATTTGATTCGATTAAACTTGACAAAGAAAGATCAGATTTTAATACAACAAATTTAGATGACGATAGAACCCAATTAGGTTCAATCAATTCTCAAAATGAGAGAATGCAGTACGGTTCCATGAATCCAAACAATGAAAGATTCTCTGGATCAAACCCTGGAAGATCTATATTTGATTCTACAAATCTTCCTAACAAACCATCAGAATTTGCTTTACAAAAGGATTTGAATGAAAGATCAGAGATCGGTTTAGTAAACCAAAAACCTTTACCATCACTGATGGATCAACAAGTTTTTAAACCAGATGATATGATTTCTGTAACTGATATTCCAAATTTGATGGATTTAACTCCACGACAAATATATGAAATAATCAGCGGAAACATGCCTAATCCTAAACGTTTCTTGAATTGGAATCCAAACCCAGATCCAGAAAGCGATTTTGTTGTGCCACTGAATGTTGTTGACCATAGGCACAAACCATCAGAAATTGGTGAGTTATAACTTTATTCATAAATTTTTTATTCACATTTTTACTATATTATAATTAACATAATTATTAACTGACAACAGTAGTAGACTACTGGACTTTCACTAACAAAACTTTTGAAGAATTAGATTTATTTACGTGTGTAATACCTCACTTATAGTTTAATTTGAATAATTCAGTTAACTTATTATCTTTTTAGGCTCATAATTTTTTTAATATTTATATTATTTAACCACAAATTTCTATGTTTTAAATATAGAAATAATGAATAGGAATCACAGAGTTAATAGATTCGATTGAGAATTGTATTTGTATTTGAGAACTATTGAATCCATTATTTTGCATATAACAGTTAAATGATTTTTTGTCAAATATTCTTTAACCGATTTTGAGTAACCCATATCTATTACAAAGCATTTCTTTATTGTTTACATGCATTGGGTTATTTGAAAAAATCTACTGAATTACAAATATAAATCTTTAACTTATTAATGTTTAACTAATCTTTACGGATGCATTTTTAATACTATTATAAATTAATAATAATATATTGAAACCTAACATAGCACAAATATATTTTATTGTTAAAAATAAAACAAACATTTTCTATCATATGCATTTGCTGCCTTCTAAGATATATATATATATATATATATATATATATATATATATATATATGTACACATATGTGTGTGTGCGTGTGTTTCTATATGCATTTACTTTTTATTTCATGCAGAGCTTTCATCATTTAATGATGTACTTCAAACATATGATTACAATCACAAGCCAGCCAGCAATATTACACCTCAAACAGAATCTGTTTGTAACAAGGAGTCTGATGAAATTCAGAAAACACATTCTGAAAATCCTATGATCGATCATGCTGCATCTAACAGATTTGAAAATTTACGAAATCGACCAAGTAGGTTTAGTGATATAGATGATAGATCAAAGCATATTGAACCAAGATTATCTCGATTTTCAAATGAAAACAGACCATCTGATCAGAATAGATCACCTTTTAAACCCGAGGAAAAAAATATATTGGATGACGATGTTAGAAAAAGCGAAGTTGATAGAAGGGATAGAAATAGATCGGATAGATTTTATCGAAACGATAAATCAAGAGAGGCAGACAGGTCACGCGATTCTGATAGATTTCGGGATAGCGACAGGCATCGAGATCTTGATAGATCTCGTGATATCGATAGATTTCGTGATGGTGACAGGTCACGAGATGGTGATAGGCCACGAGATGGCGACAGATCCCGAGATGCATTTAGATCTCGCGATTCAGATAGATTTCGGGATCAGGATAGATCTCGCGATCAAGATAGATCTCGCGATCAGGATAGATCTCGCGACCAGGATAGATCCCGCGATCAGGACAGATTTCGAGATCAGGATAAATCTCGCGATCAGAATAGATCTCGCGAACAAAATAGGGCCGCAGAACAAGACAAACCTTGTGATTCTCGTGGCTCGGACAAAACCATTTCAGATCAAAATAAAATTGGTAAAGACCAATTTGGTAGAGATATAAGTGCAAGGTATAACAATAAAAATGATGACGACAAAATGGTTGTTTCAAATACCGAACCTGCACATACAAATAAATCCGATCCCATCGTAATTCTAATAGATGACATATTACTCAAACCTGGAAGAGAACATAGGCCTTTATCGTAAGTTATTGATTTTTTTGCTGTTTTGTCAGCACATTTTTTGTTGGTTTATTATCCTAATGAGTATACAGCTGAAATTTCATTATGGAAAAATTGAAAATTTAAATGTTTGTACAAATTCAATTTTTTTTAGCATTGTTATTATTTTGCGTGGATTGCCAGGCTCAGGAAAAACTCATTTAGCAAAAATGATTAAAGAAACAGAACAGCAACAAGGAGGACCTGCACCAAGAATTTTAAGTTTGGATGATTATTTTACTGTGGAGAAAGAATTCCCTGTTGAAGGAGCTAGAAAGGTTTGTAAAATATACATTAATAGTTTGTGTTTTTTAAAAATGCCTGATCATATTTTGTCTGTAATTAATTTTTGTTTATTTATTCAAAATAAGTTTCAGTAATTTTATACCCCTTTGCTGTTTAATTTCATTCAATTTTTGCTCTTATAATCTAATTAATTGACTAAATTTGTCTTGATAGTTAGATGTTTTTTATGTGCAATAAAAAACCATATATATTATGTTTTATTTATCATTAGGCAAAGCTAAAGCATAATTGAAACTACTTCCTTTCTAGAATAATGTGTTTGAATATATAACAGGTCATGGCAGGAAAAGAGCACATCAATATTTATTTTGTAATTTTATTTTAATTAAAATAATAAATTTATTTAAATTTTAACAGGGAACTGCGAAAATAGAAATGAAATACGAGTATGATGCTACAATGGAAAAATCATATAGAGATTCATTGATCAAATCATTCAAGAAGACTATTATTGATGGTTTCTTCAATTTTGTTATTGTAGATTGTATAAATAACGAATTAAAACATTACGAAGAAATGTGGTTATTTGCAAAGCAAAAGAACTGGCAGGTACTTGAATTAATATTAACATATATTTTTGATGAGAAACACGGTGAAAATAGTTGTAGTGAAAAAATTAAGAAATAAGAAATTTTACTAGTAATAAAACGTTACATACATTAACTGAAATTAATAAAAGTTTTATTAATTGACAATCATTGTCATTTATTTCTAGGTTTATATTTGCCAATTAGAATTGGATTTGCAATATGCTCTGAAACACAATATTCATGAACGTTCTGAGGAAGACATCTCTAATATGATTAAAAATTGGGAGCCTACACCAAAGGAGCAAACTCAACTTGATGCTACTTCCATGTTACAAAGAGCTTCTATAAATGAAGTTGAAATGGAAGATGCTTTTGAGGAACTAAGTGATAACGATGATATTTTGCATGACGATGGTAACAATGGCGATGAAGGCAATGACGATGAAGATGATGAGGTTAGATTAATCTCTATTTGATTTTGGTAACATATTTGTGATTTATTTATGTCTGATATTTATGATGTGAAGAGTAGTCAAAATTATGCAAATTCAAATGCATATATATATATATATATATATATATATATATAACTCAAAATTAGTTATTAACCATTCTATGAAGTTAAACATTTATTCTTTAACTGTGAATATTATAACTGGTGTAAGTTATGATACTTCTCTGTGTTGAAAATATTAGTTTCATTATTAGAGAAATCTAGTTTTAATTTCAAAATCATCCCTAATATATGTTAACCACAGCACCTTTTTATACTTTTTATAGTTAATCTACATATTAATTTAATTAAAAAGCATGATAGGGAGTGATAGTATTGATTGTAAATATCAGGACATAAATTAGAAAAAGAAATCTCTAGTAGTTTGAAAATTCTGAGCTTTTAAGTGCAACCCAAAGCTTTCATCAAATTGAGACAATTTCTTTAGTTATTGTGGTTTATTTTTATTATTTTTATTTAAACTTTGAATCTGTAACTAAAAATAACACTTCTAGGACCACAAATAATGATATGGCTTTTGTTTTAAAAAATTAAGACTTTTTGTTTTGTTAAAATATGAATTTTGTTGAACTATGATTTCTTAAAAAAAATATACATAATTAATCAGGATTGTGAACTGGTCAAATTCTTGAAAGTTTCATAATAAAAAAAGAAAAAATTTAAAAACGTAATTATAACACAAAATTTGCTGATGCATTTTGTACACATTTGTCATTATTTTTGAATGTGGTCCTATAAATGTTATTTACTGTTTCGGTTTCAAAGTTTAAATGAACAAAATGATAATATTTAACTACAATAAACAAAAAATATGCACAGTTTGACCAAAGTTCTGAGTTGCACTTATTAATCGTTCATAATTTTTGAACTATTTGAGATGTTATTTTTTCACAATAGTTCTAATCGATACTAAAACCCTGTTGGGGCTTAATGTTGAGTTCTAGGACATGTTTATATATATGTATATAATATATATATATATATATATATATATATATATTTATATATATCGATTTCGATTTATATCGATTTATATGCATTTCGAATATATTGATTTATATGGGTCAAAAAAAGTTGCTTAGGCACATCTCATTTCCGGATACTAGGGATAAAAATAAGATACTTTGCAGAAGAAACCTCTAAAATGAATTTTGATGTCCTGTGTATTGGGACCCCCCCTTATGTCAATGCACGGGACATCAGAATTCGTTTTAGAGGTATGGTTTCTTCATCAAAGTATCTTATTTTGATCACTAGCATCCGAAAATCATCTGTGTCTAAGTGACCCTAAAATCGACCCGCCCTAATATATATATATATATATATATATATATATATATATATATATATAAGCGTGCTTTTTAATAACGTTAATTAATGATTTTTATTTAATTTTAATTCATAAATGCGAAACATAGTTTATAATTGAAAGTATAATTGAACTTTAGCAGTTCCAAAATTAATGTTTTCTATAAGCGAAGTAATAGTTGATAAAACATTATTTCATGCTTGCGTAATTTAGACTACCTTCATGTTATAATATTGATTATTATTTCAAAGGGGTATATAATGTTTGCAATTATTTTTTAAAATAATTATGAAATGTATGTATGTATGTACGTAATTACTACTAATTTTTTTTGTGGCAAATTCAACTTAATATGAATCGCGAGCATCTATTGGATGGTCATTTTATGTGGCTTCAAACAGTGTTTCAAGTTACTTATTACTTTATATAATGCGAATTTTTTCCAAGATATATCTTAAACATTTAAGATTTCTCAGGATAACATCTTTAGGAGCAAATGGGATAACACTGATCAGAATGATGACCATTTAGGTTAGTATCAATTTTATTTTATCATTTGTATTAATAGCAAGCATAAGCAATACTGTGATTACTTATGTAATTTTGTCATCTCAAATTATCGGTTCAGTTTATAATATAAGGTTCAATATATATTTAGTTTAGCCATATTTTTAGTGTATAAAAATTCATATTATAATTTATTATTTTATATTTAATTTAGATATAACTGAAAATTTACAACATAATTCATAAAAAACAGTGAAGAATCCGATTTATTGATAATTTTATTTTATTTGAATTGTTTTACCTTTTTTTAAATATTTGCGGTCACAACAATGAACGCAAATTGTTCAGTTTTCAAACTGAATATTTAAAATAAAATTTTTGTTGGATTGAATAAAGAAATTTTCTATACCAATATTTAGACCATTTTTTCGAAAATTATAGATATATTAATTTGAATTTGACCAAACCGCAATGCATGGAACAGTTCAACTCTAAAATACTTTTTTAATATATAGAAGCTCTTTTCAAGTGAACATTTTACATTCTTTGCAGAATTGCGCGATGGTACGAATTTATAATTTTTAGGTGATAATGTTTTTTCACTCGTTTCATTTATATTTGAAGAGCGCTTTTTTAAAATTCATGTCATAACTTTAACTTTAAGAATATGTTTTGCTATTACCTTAATTTAATTTTGTCTTGATTCCGTTCCAGCCCGCCTCGACGGAACCAGTAAACCGCTTCGTCACCAAACCATGGAAGAATACCTCGCAGCTGATTGGGAACCAAACACAAGCACTTCCGGGAAAAAGAGAGTGAGCATATTTTGCTTTAAATGATGATTAGGTTGACAGTCGAAACAAACCCGTTTTACTCTTATTGAAAAGAATTATTTTTGAGCAATATTATGAATATAATTAAAAAAAGCTAAATTTAAAGATAGTTGTATGATAGTTCGAAATACAGTAGAACCTCGATTAACCTAACTAAAGGACTAATTGTTGTCCATAGGCATCCGTATAATCAAAAAACCGTATAGTCGAATGTATGAAGAATAATGTTGTGTATCAACGAAAATAATGTTTATTAAGAAATTGAAACTTCTTTATGCATGTACACAGGGCCGGTCCTGGGGTCCTTTGCGCCCGCATGCAACTTTTTTTCTAGCGGCCCCCCCCCCCCCCTATTAATTTTAACTGTTTTAACAGTTTATCATTAAAATTATATAAATATTTACAATTTTTTTTAAAGTAATTTTTAATTTGATTAGATTTAGTACACGAAAAATAAGATATAATCTAAAAGAGTATAAAATACATTAATTTTAAATGTATGTAGAAAATCGAGGTAATTTGCGGGTTGATTATAATCAAATATATTTAAAATTTCAATTATTTTTAACGTATGTGCAATATTAATATTTGGGATTTGAAACATTTTACTTATTTATTGTGCGATTTATTCTATTGAGCAAATCATGCCAAGACAACTAAAGAAAACTAGCTTGTCGTTTTCAATCATAACACTCGTATTTCATATTGGATTTTTTAATTTTTAATTTAATTTTATTTTTCACAATATCCAAAATTGCGTCGTAAACTTCTCCTTATTGATATCATAGGAGCCGAATTGTATTCATCCTTGCTTTCTCGTTATATTCAGATTATCAGATTGTTGTTTTAAAGTTAAATTTTATTATTATTTTTTTATTTTAGAAGTATTGTCCAAAAATGAGTAAAAAATGCAAAGAAATTACTCATTTCTTTAACTATATTGACAAAAAACTAATCATATTTGATATGTTTTATTTCTGCAGAGTTAATAATTATTAAGTTTAGAGTATGGACACCACAAGGTATAAAAAAAGCCTTAAGATTTTCGTTCCAAAGTAAATTTTGCTTTCATTTTTCATATTTGTTTCATTTCCATAACTCTAACCACGCATGTCTTTAATATTCAAAGTTCATCAGATGCGAAACATTTGCAACAAAAACAAAAGTTACAATTCAATTTTTCGGAATAAACATGCCATTTTTTAAGAAATGACTCCCCATTTTTCATTTTCCCGATTATAATTTATTTATATTTTTTACCAAGTTCTGTTTCAACAAAATCAGCTCGTAATTTTTCGTCAATAATGCCCAATAATTAATTTAATTTTTCGCAGCTTTGCGCTTATGGGCAAACTAGATAATTCCTTTTTCGATTCCACGGTAACTTCAAACAAAGAAAAAATTGAATAAGTAGATTAAGCAATAAACAGAGTTGTTATTTACTCATTTGCAGAGTAATTAATAGGTTAATTGTTTCTACTAATATCACATTGCAGTCTCCGTATCTATAATTCATTTAGAGTGCTCATTATAATTTATCAAGTATTCTAGATTTTATATAAATAATAAAAAATATAAATAATATGAATTTAATTTCCGAAACTCGTTTTGGCGCCCCCTAAGGCGTGCGCCCGCATTTTTTGCATGCATCGCATGCAAGGCAGGACCGGCCCTGCATGTACATATATATTTTCTTAGATTACATTACGTACATTTACTAAACTGCAGCATTAACCGTGCAAAAATTCGAATTGTAGGTATGTACATAATAGTATGTATTATAAATTAGTCGCGGTTGGTAGTTCGGGTAATCGCGTATAATTGCAAATCCGTATAAAGTCCGGATAAACGAGGTTCTACTGTACTAATATCACTTTTTAGTTAGAATTCCATATGAAAATTATAATTTAAGCTATAGTTTTCTATGCAGTGTTCTACATTACGGACTACCTGGTATCAAGCAGTTATGTCCATTTTCACTTGGAATTATAGATTAAAAATATGTTTGCAAGGCATTTATTCATAAAATAAAATACAATATATTGTAATCACTCACAATAAATTCTATTAATAAAAATCTATCAAATATAAATTGGTAAAAGGATAAGTTCGATCGCAACTGGTTAAAGGACGGAAATTCTGATAGCTGTAAATATGAGAATATATAAAAAAAACAGTATTATCAATTAGTGAAAAAAATAATAAAAACCAATAAATTCGTTAACACAGGTTTTATTTTTACTCTTATAATTAGTAAATCTAATAAGTTTTTGATGTGAATCTTTCAAGTAAGACGTTGTCTAGTTTATTGGCAGAGTAATTAAAAAATGTATACATATTATGGAAATCTATTGTAAAACCGAGATTTTGATCATTATGTATCAGTAGTTTTTTTTCTCAATTATTAAGACACGTTCATGGGGCTGAATTTATTTTGATATAATAAGATAAAAAAAAAATTAAATTTGTCAATTTGACTGAATGAAATGATAACACTTTTTTTTTATAGGTGCGTTGGGCCGACATAGAGGAGAAACGTGCTCAAGAGAAAATGCGTGATCGTGGTTTTGTAGTTGGCCAGACAGACTGGAATAGAATGATGGATCCTACAAGCGGTCAGTCTGCTCTAACTCAGACCAAATATATTGAACGCGTCAATAAATCTATTTTCTAAAGATCACATGCCATGTCTCATTCAACCATGCACGAGATCTATCAAGATACTGTAAGTCGCTATAATGTATAATAATATATGAAATGAATTTTATGTATGATTTTGTTTTTTGATTGAATGATATGATTTATAAATTTAAAACTATTGATGAGTGTTTTGTCATTTGTTATTACAAACTATTTTTCGGATAATATATTTGTTTTCTTCATGCGTTCATGAAGAGCACATGGAACATCGTTCAAAGTATTCGTTGCTTTGCGTATTATCAACATATCAAACAGTATTTTTATGTGTTTCATTTTATAATTCACATGAATCGAGAATAGTCTTGATATTAAAAATTGGTGTTTGGAAATTTGGAATATTTCATCATTTATGAAGTCGTCATGAAACATTAATCAATTGGAATTAGTAGTATATAAAACAGCTTGTATGATATACCATGCAGTCACGTTTGAATATGCAGACAACTTTTTTTTTAATGATTGACAATTGATTTGTCAATTGTTTATATATTGACGAGCAGCTACATATCAACAAATCCGATGTCTTGTAATAGTTATTGTTCAGTAATGAAACAAGTCGTGGGCGGTAAATGATAACCATTATTTATTTTGATGCATCATTTTAATTTACCTAAATAGAATAATATTTCATAGTACATACAATGTGTTTCTTCAATTAAGATTTGAGTTATCCGCGACAATATTTAAAATCATATTCTCTTAATATAATAATAAACGCTATATTTTTAAAATATAAACTGATCGATATTCCTACTGATTAATGTTATTAGACTTCAATTTTTGGCTAGTTTTCAGTTGAGGCCTTAATAAGTCTCCCACATGTGTTTTTTATGAAAAGCACGAGGAAATAATTTTTTCACAAAAATATCTTTTTTATTGCACTTATTACTTACTAATTTCGAATGAAATTATAATGTAATATGAGTAAGTAAAGGTGTTTTTCCGACTTGATTATAACTTTTCACGTTTTGCAAATCACGAGATATTTAGGTATTTAGATACGTAATGATTCTCTTTTATTGACTTTTATATATGTTAATGTTATGAATTTTTTGCTACTTCAAGAAGGATTTTTCACACATGTACCAGCTATCATATGTACATATTATTTAAACCTATATCATGCGTGTTAGTCATACTGGAGACGAATATACAATTTCGTTCAAAATGTGCTGTTCTCATATATTATAATGTGAACACATAAAACTACTAATCAGCCAATAGCAATTTGTTTTTCATGATGTATAAATATATTGGCGTTTTATTATATGAAAATTTATTTTTATTTTCATTTAATGAAACATAATTGAGTTTACATTTAGAAAACAAATTGTATAATTAGGATCCTGCTCATAAAAGTATTGGGATTATGTATTAATATTTTTTATTATTTTTCTAAGAGTGACATTTATTTTTGTAATATTACAAAGTTCGACTAACTCTCGCGAAATATTATTTTATTCTCCTCATTAATTTTTGTAAGCATTTGAGAAACTACTCAAATTAGAGGTTTGTTTGTTTAGACATTTTCGTCAATTTTAAAATGCATATTTGGATTGCATTTTTGAAGTTTTTGCATTATTCAAACATCTATTGAATGAATATTATATAGAAGAATTATTTAGTTTTTTGTTGGTGGAAAAAGTTATTTCTTTCTTCAAAAATTTATTTGTTGGAAATATGAAATCGTATTGAATAATAGTGGAATAATTTAGGTAATATGAATTTAAAACTATCACATGCACTTTGTACAAAAATGTCAGCAGTTAATGTTCTTATGTTTATTAATATTTTTATATGTGTAAGTAATAAATTCATTGTAAAGCATCCTATTTACATGTGTATTTTGTTATATTCCTTTAGGTTTGAAATTTTCTTCACAAAACGGGCAACATATTTAAAACATTTTATTAATTACATTTATTAATTATAAAAGCGTAGAGTAAAATAATTTCTATATAAATTGGAAATTAATTATTTTTGTTCTATTGGTGGCGATATTAAACCTGCATGTGTCAAACGTATATAATTTATAAATAGATTTCACATTCTTTCATAAATAATTTTTTAATGAAATTTCGCTACTATGTATCGAATTATCTAGTTTAATACAAATTATGGGCTAACATAGACAATATTCGGCATACAGATTTTAGCAAAATTTTCTGAAATCTTTAATATTTATTTACAAATTGATAAATATGTATTTGACTTAAAAATCATCATGATAATGGAAAGCAAAATATTAATATGGTTATAAAACAACAGTGATTGATTTTTTTTCACCTATCTCTAGTATTTTTCAATGAGTTTATTTTTGCTTATCTCGTTTTTTGGAAACCTGCATCGATTCATCGATTAATCTTTCTTCGAGTTTTTGTGGTTGTTTCCCTCTGTGGATTTTGGTAATAGTAAAGGAATTTTCATGATCAGTGGAACTTTCACTCTTAAATCTGTCATTTGCGGTTTGAGTAGGCACTTCGTTCTTTAGAGCGACTTCGTTTTGAAGTTCTATTGCTTTCTTTTGTGCCGTCATGACTGTGACCTGCAGTAACAAAAATAATTTATGATATAAGTCGATTTGTTATAACAATATAAGTTAACCAGAGGCACAATATTATGCGTATCCATAAAAATAAAATTACAAATTTCATATCTTCATAGAACTATTTTTTTAAATATATGTACCTACTACATTATTCTATGAAATATACTCGTAACATATATACTCGATCATTAATCCTAAAATATAAATGCATGGTTTTTATAATTGTACACTACTACAAAGTGCATCGTTTTCGTTGTAGTCAAGACTGGTTACCGTTGTACCACTTTTTATCAGCAATACTTTTGTTAATTTACCAGTTAGCTGGGAGAAAAGTAAATTAAATGGTAATTTGAACATTTGTATACTAGGAAATACTGTAATGCTGTCCTTAAATACGATGGATTAGTCTAAAATCAAATCATACGGAAAAGGGGCGAGTGTCACAACCGACCACACCCGAGGAACGGTTGTGACAGGCATAAAATTAGGTTAAAAAATAATAGCTATAAACACAACAATGGTTTATAACGACTTTTATTGTCAAAAATATGTAAAACAACAAAACATAATTATTTAAACAAAGCTTATGAATATAACAATATATAACAAAACATAATTTTTTAAACAAGAAATCTTTATGAAATCATTTATTTTCTTCTACTGAATTTTATTTCTCATTCTTTTTCGTATTTAGTCTTAGATAAGTTAGATTTTTCTTTATTCGTTTAAATGCCACCCAAAAAGGACAAGAAATACATCTCACTTCATATACATGTCACATAAAGCAAAACTGTTTGCTGTTAATTATCTACTAATATTCAACTTGCAGCAAAATAACAAAGTGATCTACAAGTATACAAGTAACAGTTTAATATTGTAAGAAATCTAACAAAGAAAACGTATTTGGCTCTTTAAAAGCTATTTGGTTTATAGATCATGTTGATGTACTTGTTCGAACAAATATACTTCATCTTTCTCCCTTTGGACCCTATCTCAAAATCAGTATAGTTTAGCTGTGACGACTGTCACTCCGTAACTTGTCATAACCGTACCCAGTCTCCCATATTTTACATTCTGCACGTTTTTCTCAATTTGTACGAATATGAACTTAGTTTTAATGTTATTTACCTCTGGTCCCATAGAATTCATGTGATCTCTCAGGCATTGTTGTAGAATATTCAGGAAAAACATAAATGCAAGGAGAGTGAGCGCTGATAGTGCTGCTCCACTTTTGCCTCCGCCGCTATGATGTTTATAGCTGGAAAGACAATTTGTCAAATTCTGCACAACATGCAAATTTTAATGGCATATTCATTGTAAATAATTTTATTTTTGCAATTTAAATCTATTGTTTAATGACTATCATTCACAAATTATTTCAAAATTTAACTCAAATGAATGAAAACTTACACTAGCTTTCATAACTAACTTCATTTTACATAACTAAAGCTTTGGAAAACCGTGCTTTCCGTCAAATATTGATATGTAAAAGAATATTCTGCCTGATTTATCAATTGTTTGGAATTTTTATCTAAAATAACAGCTTATCACAAATTATTTTCTTTTACCTGTGGCCTCCTTTTTGTGTTGCATACTGATGTACTGGAATTCCTGCATATGCATGCCCTTGGTGTGGTGGCTGTTGATATGCCTGATACGCGTGGGCTGGATATGTTTCTGCGTATCCAGATCCGGCGTGGCCACTGTATTGCATACGGTCGTTCATAGGCTGTAAATTGATTATTTTGGTACTTTTGTTAACTATTTTGTTGATTGAAAATTATGTACTATTTTTTTAAAATCTGTCTGAAGTGGTTTGTAGAGAAATTGTTGAAGTAAATTAATTTTGCTTTATTTTACACATGAAGGCATGTTATATATATCTACTAATACTCCGTTACGTTAGACACAACTATAACTATTTTGACAATGTTCATCGTTACGCTTATTTAAATCGCAAAAATCGAAAATAGTATTTAACTTCCTGAAGGAGTAGTTTGTTTATATCAGAAAATCCGATATGTTAATTTTGTGCATTTTCGTCGTTTCAAGTAATTCTGAATAGGTTGGCACCAAAATTAGGAAATATTTGACCATTCATAGAACTTAGCCATTTGATGAAATTATTCTATAAGGACTCGCATTGATTAGTTTTGCAAGATAATCCGTTTCTTTAGGATTAGCAGTAATATTTTTTGTCAACGTTTTTACATTAAATCCGGAACCAATTGACAATTAGTTTTGTATAATTTGTGTTTAGTTTTCTTTTTTTTTTTGTAAAGATCGGCTTAAACGTTTTCTTCGAATTCGTTAAATTTTTGTGTTATATTATAGAGATCATGGTCTGTTAAGGCAAAGATGTTAACAAAGTTTCATGAATTTTACAATTACTTAATGAATTAATTAATACTAAATTCAAGGAATTTATATAGTTTTTGTAAGTCTAATATTTTAAGACCAGACTTTAGAAAAATGGT